ATAGGAGGAGTCTGGGCAGAGCTTGGCTAGATCTTCTCCTCAAGGTCTCACACGGCTGCAATCAAGGTGTCAGATGGGCTACATTCTTATCTGGATGCTCAACTGGGGAAGAATCCACTTCCAAGCTCATTCAGGTTGTTGGCAAAATTTATTTCCTTGCAATTGTGTGGCTGAGGGCCCTAGCTTCTTACTGGCTCTCAGCTGAAGGCCACACTTAGGTCCTCAAGGCTGCTCTTAATTCACTGACACATGGTCCTCTTCATAGGCAGTTGATATGGCTGTTTGTTTTTTCAAGGCTAGAAGGAGAATCTCTCACCCCAGTCTGCTCAGATGGAGTCTTATATAAGAGAACGTAATCATGAGAGTAAAGTCACATCACCTTGCTATATAATGTAACATAATTGCAACAGTGACATCCCATCAAGTTTGCCATATTCTATTGGCTAGAAACAAGACATAGATTCCACTTGGCCTCAAGGAGAGAGAATTATACAAGGGTGTGACTCATTGGTGGTCAGCGTAGGGTGTATCTGCCACAGTTACATAGCCACTAAGTGGCAGATCAGGGATCAGAGCCATGCCACACTCTCTCCCTGCAGCCCCAGGTTCCTTCCTTTCCCATCTGTCCCTGTTGTCACATGGAATTGTCCTGTCTCATGAGTCTCAAGTCATAAGGATTGGAGACACCTTTGACAGTGACTTCAAGGTCATGCTCAGTTCTTTATGATCAAATCCTTTCAATTTTTCCATACAAACCATCTTGAAGAGGGTTTAAAATAGGCCATGTTTTGGAAGGTCATTTAGACAGTACTCAGTCTTTTGGAGAGATTCCAGGTAGTTTATGACAGTACAGTAGTCCCCCACTTATCTGTGGTTTTGCTTCCTGTGGTTTCAGTTACCTGGGTCAACTGAGGTCCAAAAATATTAAATGGAAAATTCCAGAAATAAACAATTCACAAGTTTTAAATTGCTGCTATTCTGAGCAGTGTGATGAAATCTCACGGCGTCCTGCTCCACCCTGCCCAGAACATGAATCATCCCCTTGTCCCGGGTATCCACACTGTATACACTACCCACCCGTTAGTCACTTAGTAGCCATTTCTGTCATTAGATCGACTGTTGTGGTATTAAAGTGCTTGTGTTCAAGTAGCCTTTACTTTACTTGATCACGACCCCAAAGCGCAAGAGTAGCGATGCTGGCAATTCGGATATTCTCTTACTGTTCCTAATGTATAAATTAAGCTTTACATAGGCATGTAGGTATAGGAAAAATGGGGTTCGTTACTATCCACACTTTTAGGCATCCACTGGAGGTCTAGGAACATGTTCCCTGCAGATATGGAGGGACTATTGTAAAGCAACCAGCACAGCCCTTGGAGCAGACCTGGCAGATGTGCTATATAAACTTGGTACTAGGTTACGGGGGCTGAGTTCTGTTTCTCCTGAGGACAGCCTCTGTACACATGCAAAGACTGAACAAATGTCCAAAGAAGAAGAAAAGGATCTAACGGCATTTTTCAATTTAAATCAATTTAGAAATATTTATATCCGAATAGAATTTAAATTCCTTTCTCAATGAAGTGCAAAGGAGACAGAGCAGAGCTGTAGCCTCCAGGAAGAAAATTGTCAATGCATTAGACACTTTTCTGTCACAGTGTCACAGCATCCTTTGATTTCTGGGGAGACAGACCCTGTCAACAATCCCACATGACAACCTTATCGTAGAGGTTGCCGTAGATCTGTGAATGTGCCTGATTTCTTGGCCCTCCTTTGTTTTAATTTTCCAAATGGTGATACAGTGGAGCTCTGATGTGGTGAGCAGACTCCACAGAGAGCTTTGTCTGCTGTTTATTGGTTTGTGATGAAAAACAACTCTGCAGAAACATAAAGTGTGTTCTACTCCTGAGTCTGAGATAGATTCTAAGTTCATTCAAACTCATAAAAAAAAAGCTCAAGAAGGCAATAGCAGCACAGGCTGGTCTTGATAGAGAATCGAGATTGCTTTAGTAGGTATACTAAGGTTTTTTTTTAATCACAAGTAAGTTAGGCAGCCCCAATACAATTTTTTAATGTGCCAGCACATTGTTCGGTGCTTCCATCAATCATAACAGAATACTGTCACCGTAAAGAAAGAGCACGGGGGAAAGCAAGGTATTCGGCTGAACTGAATTTATTAAAGTGCCTAGAAGCAGGTATCAGCAGTGAATGCAAAGCTCAAGTCCTAAAACCCATTGTGTCTATAAGAGAAGAGAAGAGACTTACATTTTGCCTCCTTTTTAAAAATACATACCATTGACAAAAATGTATTGCTTTTTGAATTGCTTGTGACTCGGGGAAAATATTTAAGCAGGTTAAACCCATGAAATAAATGACAACATAATGTACAATATTTTACAAAACTAGAAACTTGAGTTCCGTAAAAGAAGGAGGATTAGAGGCCAGTCAGTGGGAAGTCGCTGTTATACTGACCTTGTGTCATTCCTTTAGGACACAGACCACAGGAGGACAATGTAGATGTCATTTTGGAAAGCGGTTTCTGATTCCTACAAGCTCCTTTGTTTTCTGAGCTCACTGCAGTCAGGAGGAGGCTTGATTGCTCTGAAAGAGAGAGAGCAAGACAGACAGGGAGAGAAAGAGAGAGAGAGAGAAACCCGATGTGGAGAAATTTAGAGCCAGCATGGCTGGGCACTGGGTGACAGGCAGAGGTGAAACCAGCCCACCCCTCCCTTGGCCCAACACTGGGGAAAAGTGGTGGAAGAAAGAAGAAAAGAAGGTGAGATGGGGAAGTACTTGATCCCTTAGGGTACCTTCTGATATAATAGAAAACTAAAATTGAAGCAATGAAATCATATCCATATCTCATATAAGTCTGGAGGAAGGAGATTCCAGAGTTTGGTCAGCATCTCAACTTGAATTGGCACTCTGGAATTCTCTTGGCAATCCCCTCCGGTTGAAGGATGACAGCTGCTGCTCCAGGTGTCACATCCTCATTGGGTGCAGGGTGGAGGTAGGGGGAAGGGAGGCATAGAAACAGTAAAAGAAGTGAGTCTCATATGATCGTGAAGAGCTGAAACACAGCAGAATTGGAAATGGAATGTCTTTTTTCAAATGTAGGGAGTATGGGTGAAATTTAAAGAGGATGAGGGGTTGGGAGGGGAGAAAGGGGAGTAATGTATAAATAGTGGTGAAATGCTCTGATCTCTCCTTGATAGACCATTGTTTGGAGGATGCAAAAGAAAAATGAATCACATGCAATTTTCTTCCAATTCAAAAATTTGGATTTATAGAAAACTTGGATATGAGCCAGCCTGGGGCCAGAATGAGTTGACAGGATTGCAGTTAAGGCGTGTCATCAGAGCAAGGAGTAAAAGCTACACAATGGCTCAATTCAAACACTTAAAAAAGGTAAAAAGATTTCACTCCCATTATCTAGACTTTTAGTAGAACCAAAAATTTCAATTCACAAAGGCTCATGGTTTAATTCCACTCTGTGGTACTTGTCAGAGTTTCTCTTCCTGTGACATTTATTTTCTTCTTCCTTGGTAGAGTGATGCCATTCTTTTCAGCCTTGTTTTTTGCATTCTCATTTTAGGCCTCAACTTTTTCCTGTCTAGTTCGGTGTTGATGCTGGCTCACTTTTCATGGAAACAAATTATTGCAATATGAGTACAAAGTTGTTAGACCAAGCCCCAAGAAATTGTTATCAGGAAGAGAGTTCTACCATGCAGCTGTGGCCTGCATGCTTTTAAAAATTCCTACGTGTTTACATATCAGGACTGACAGGCACAGGTGACAATGGATGAGCCTTCAGAGGGGTAGTACAGCATGAGTAAGAGCACAGACTGTGGTCCCAGACTGCCTGGGTTAACTCCGAGCTTTACCACTTATTCCTTGTGTGACTTTGGAGGCTAGGAAATTATAATGCCTCAGTTTTCTCTTTGGAAAATGGGAATGATGTTATTAGCTACCTCATAGGGTTATTGTGAGGATTAAATGAGTTAATACCTCTAGAATCCAACTAATTATCATCTCCATTGCTACCTACCGATAGTGTCAGAGCCACCATCATCTCTTTAAGGATTGCAGCCTCCTAACTAGTCTCTCTGTCTCTACTCTGCCATGCCATGGTCTGTTTCCCAACACAGCAGATAGATTTACCCTTTTATAATGTACATTAAATGTAATGTCACTCTTCTGCTCTCGACACTGCAAAAGTTCCCCATCTCACTTACTAGAAAGACAAAGTCTTCACAATGTCCTAAAAGACCATGCATGAGCAGGCCTCTGGTTAGCTCTCTGACCTCATTTCCTGTGAGCCTTCCCTTCTCTCGCTCTGATCCAGCCACACTGGTCTCCTTCCTGTTCCTTGAACACACTAGGTTCTCTTCTGCCTCATGGGTCTGCTCTAGCTATTCCCTCTGCCAGAATGTTCTTCCTTCAGATATCTACATGGCTCGTTCCATCACCACCTCTCCTTTTTTTTTGAACAGCTTTATTGAGATATAATTTACATAACATAAAATTCACTTGTTTTAAATACACACTTCAATGGCTTTTAGTATATTTACAGAGTTGTGCGACCATCGTCCCAATCCATTTTAGAACATTTTCATCACTTCAGAAAGGAACCCTGTACACTTTAGCTATCATTCTTCTATTTTTCCATCCATCCCAGCCCTACACAACCTTTAATCTACTTTCTGTGTCTATATATTTGCCTATTCTGGACATATTATGTAAATAGAATCATACAATATGTGGCATTTTGTGATTAATTTCTTTCACTTAGCATGTTTTCAAGGTTCATTCACATTATAGCATGTATCAGTACTTCATTTCTTTTTATTGATGAATATTCCATTGTATGGATATACCACATTTTATTTATTCATTAAACAGTTCATAGACATTTTGACTGTTATGGCTAATGCTGCTATGAACCCCATGCATAGGCTTAAGTGTGGACATATATTTTTCAACTAGGTATGTACCTAGGCAAGGAATTGCAGGGTCACATGGTAATTCAATATTTAACTTTTTGAGGAACTGCCCAATTGTTTCCCAGCGTGGCTGCACCATTTTACATTTCCCCCAGCAGTGTATGAGGGTTCCAATTTCTCCACGTCGTCTCCAACACTTACTGTTTGACTTTTTGATTCTAGCAATCCTGGTGAGTGTGAAGTAGTATCTCATTGTGGCTTTGAATTGCATTTCCCTAACGACCAATGATATTGAACATCTTTTCATGTGCTTGTTGGCCATTTGTATTCCTTCTTTGGAGAAATGTCTATTCAAATCCTTTGCTGATTTTTAACTACGTGACTTGTCTTCTTGTTATTGAAATATAAGACTTCTTTTGTAAATGATTTGCAAATATTTTCTTCTAATCTATGCATTATGTTTACTGCGTCCCTTTGCTAAAACAGAAGCCCTACAAGGCCAGACATCTTTTTCTGTTTTGTTCAACGATGTATCACACATGCCTAGAATGGTGCCTGGTGCATATCAGTAAATATTTGTTGAATGAATACGTTAATGTAAAGTGCTTAGAACAGTGTTTTTCAAACTGCTGAGTTGTTGCTGTTGTTTTTCCTACAACATTGGAATTGGAGAAAGCAATTCAAAACATAGTGCTAAAATCATCCTATCAGTCAGATCCATAGACCCTTGCCAGACAGGCTCCTAAGCTGCTTGAGTGCTTTTTTCTTACACCTTTAGGAGGTTTTGTTTAATCATTTATAAAATAAAGAAAATAATATCGCGATATTTACTTCATAGGTGATATGAAAGTGAAACGAAATAATGTGGGTCGTGTGTGGTTCAAACGAGATAGAATTTTATTTCTCTCTCACATAATAGTCTAGGGAAATCAGGTCTTTTTGCTTTATGAGATGGCCCTGGCATCATGTTCCTTCCATTTTGTTCTTCTTCCACCTCCTAGAGTATTGCCCCTCATATCAATTAGCTATTGCTGCATAACAAGCTACTCTAAAACTTAATGGCTTAAAACAACAATTTTTTTGCTCATGGTTCTTAAGATCAGCAATTTGGTTTGTGCTCAGGTGAATGGTTCTACTGATCTCACCTGGGATCACTCATGCAGTTGTAGTAATCAGGTGGCTTGATTGAGGCTGGATAATCTGAGATGGCCTACTCATTTGCGGGCTATCAAGTAGGCATCTCTCTCCATGTGGTCTCTCATTGTCAAGGAGGCTAACCCAGGCATCTTTCCATGGCAGTCACAGGGTTCCAAGAACGAAAAAGTAGAAGCTGCATGGCACCTTGAGACCTAGGCTCAGAAGTCTGTCAATGTCACTTTCACCCCATTCTATTTGCCAGTTAAAGTGGTGGAGAAAGAAACTTCACCTTTGATGGGAGAAGCAGCAAGTCACTTGCAAAGGAACATATGTATAAAGGTGGGAGGAATTTGTGGCTATTGCAATCTACCATACTCCCTCCTCTGTATGGTTGAAGCTATCTCTTGAGTATTACTTTTGCATTTCAATAGCTCACATCTAATTGCCAGAAGAGAGTCATGTGGCTACATTAAGCCACCCGAGACCTAAATCAGGAACCCTGGCATGGGGCCTTGCAATGTGTATTTTAACAAGCTGCACAGGTGTTTCTGATGTACCCCCAAGTTTGAGAGTCACTGCTCTGTTGAGTACTGGGTGCTGGGCCCACGTTCCTTCTGTAAGGCCAATGCACCCATTCTCAAGCTGCGGAGAATCTTGGCTGTTGACGTGGCTGTGTTCCTCACTGGGAATTCACCTCAGCTTCAGGGACCTGCCTTGCCCAAATTTACACTCCTTACCAGCATATAGTCCGTGGCCAATGACTGGCTGATATAGGGATACAAAGGCCCGATCTCCTGTCTCAAATTGGGATAACTCTAAAGAGCTCTTCCAGCTCCAGAGGTCTTGAGGGATCAGCTGAAGCCTCAGTTGTGACCACATTGCAAGGCAGCTTCTTTCTTTGCCCAGTCCTACTTTCTTTACTCCCTTACAGTGTAGCTCTTAAGAGCACCTCTAATATACCTTTTACACACAACTCTCCATCTCAGAGCCTATTTCTAGGGAACTAATTCAAGACATATTTGAAATAACATATATGCAAGGATTTATAGTAGCAAAAGATCAGAAACAACTTAAATGTCCACAGTAGAGGACCGGTTAAATAAGCCACGTAGCTTGTGAAGAGAATTATCGGCTGACATGGAAAGATCTCTGAAAATAATAACAATAAAGTTAAAAACTAATAAACATACAGCACTTGCTATGTCCAGGCACTGTTCTAAGGTCTTTATGTGTAGGTGCTGTTACAGTGCCCCAGTAAAGAAAAGTGGAGAATAGATCAAGGAAGAGTCTCCTAGGTAAATGAAATGGTATATTTGAAGGTCCAGGAGCAAGAGAGGACTTGGAATATTTTAAAAATTAAAGAAATATATATATACACACAGACAATACAAGTACAGAGTATGAGTGGAAAAAGACCAGAGATAAGGCTGGAGAGTTAAGATGGAGCTGGTAGGGAAAGTAGCATGACTGGAGCCCATGGGCCAGTTAGGAGGTTGTATTCTGGTCCCAGCAGGAAGCAACAATGTCTTAGACTAGGATAGTGATAATAAATATAGGGAACAAATTCATGAGATAAAGTTAATCCATTTTGGTAACTTGGATCAGAAGTGGGAGAAGCAGGAGAGGCAGTTTTGTTTATATGTTAGTGGTGTGGGTACTGTCAGGAATTGCATTTGAACATATTAAATTGAGGATCCTTAGTAAATATCCTATTGAAGATGTCAAGTAGGCAGTCGGCTACATGAATTTTGAATTCAATTCAAACTGAAGATTGAATCGGCAGTATATACATGTTATTTAAAGGCACGAGATTAGATGAGTTCACTTAGGAAATTAGTGTTGGTAGAGAAGGCAAAGGTGATTAAATAGGAATGTGGAAAAAACCAGGAGAGAAGGAGTGCTCTAGAAATCCAGAGAGGAGAATGTTTAAAAGAGACCAAATGCTACAGAGAGTTGAAAGCTGGCCCTTTGGACTGGCTACTTAGGAGGTCACTAGTGACTTCAACCTGAGCAGTTTTGGGCAGTAGAGACCAGATTGTGATCGATTGAATAGTGAAAGGGGGAGAGTGGGTACAAAAGGAGGGAAAAAGGAAGGAAGGAAGGAAAGATGAGTAGGGAGTGTGTGGAAAGAAGTCATTTAGAAAGAAATATATGGTATTCAATAGCAAATTCCTCATCTAAAATAAAGTTTATTAAGATCATAGCTGTGTGACTTTGAACAAGTTACTTAACCTCTACTTCATCCAGTAGTTGTGAGTATTAAACACTGATATATTATGAAATGCTTATAATAGTGTCTGGTCTATACTAAGCCCTCAAAAATGGAAATTCTCAAAATAAAATAGAAGCTATTGTTATTATTTTAAGCATTATGTAACTATCATGAAATGCCACGCTCTCATAAGACAGGAAGTGGGCCTGAACTTGAAATAGACTTTTTCTTTATCTCATTAGTACGAAAAACACACAGACAAATTAAATCAAGATTAGAGAAGAGCCACAGAGGTGAGAATTCATGTCCTTCTTACATATTGTTATTTGTCATCCTAATTACCATCAATATTGTTTAACAGGTAGCCTGATCTCTTAGGGAATCAGGGTGACTGCATTTCTGACTGCAAGTGAAATAAACGTTCACTCCCGGGAGGTGTTATTTCTTTCGGCTCCAAAGAACCAGCTGGTGCTATGAAAACAGTTAATTGGATTTTTCCACCTCCCTCAGAAAAAGCTTCTAAAAAAGCTCATTCTCTTTTCATATGGGAACATTTTATTCACAAAAATCTCATTTTAGTATCCATCTATTCAAGTCTTTAAGAAGAATTTGGTACTCCATCTACTGGATCCCCATGTGCCATTTTGACCAGAATGAATGCAAATGATTATTGAATAATTTTTCTTGTTGAGAGGGAGAGGAAATGCTTTCAAGAAAGTCATTACAGACTTTTTTTTTCCTAAAAAGAAATAAATGTTAAGGTAATTAATGGTTCTGTGATTATAGACCTTACTCAGAAAAATCACAGTTATAAGACCTCTGTCTACATTGTGTTGTCCAATACGATAACCACATGAGGCTGTTAAACACTTCAGATGTGGCTAGTGCAACTGAGGAACTGAATTTTTTTTTAATAGTCTTTTTTTTTTTTGAGGAACATTGGCCCTGAGCTAACATCTGTTGCCAATCTTCCTCCTTTTTTCCTTTTTCTCCCCAAAGCCCCAGTAGATAGTTGTATGTCATAGTTATATATCCTTCTAGTTTCTCTATGTGGGATGCTGCTTCAGCATGGATTGATGCGTGGTGAGTAGGTCCGCTCCCAGGATCTGAACCGGTGAACCCTGGGCCACCGAAGTGGAGGGTGCAGACTTAACCACTACACCACCAGGCTGGCACCCTGAATTTTTTTTTTTTTTTTTGGTGAGGAGATCAGCCCTGTGCTAACATCTGCCAATCCTCCTCTTTTTTTGCTGAGGAAGACTTGCCGTGGGCTAACATCCATGCCCATCTTCCTCCACTTTATCTGGGATGCCGCCACAGCATGGCTTGCCAAGCGGTGCGTTGGTGCGTGCCTGGGATCGGAACCGGCGAACTCTGGGCCGCCGCAGCGGAGTGTGAGCACTTAACTACTTGCGCCAGCAGGCCAGCCCCCTGGCCCCCTGAATTTTTAATTTTATTTAGTATTCATTAATTTAAATTTAAAAATTGATACTTGATTAAATCATTGGAAAACTTTTAAGTAAGTTTTGAATAACTCAAGTATGTAAATTTACTTTTTTAACTGTAAATTTTATGTAATATAAATATAGATCAAGTATTTTTGAGGAAAATTTAGCATCTGGATTGGGATGTGCTGTAAGTGTAAAATACACAACGGATTTTGGAGACTTGTTATGAAAAAATAGTGCATAATATCTCATTAATAATATTCTATATTCATTATATGTTGAAATAATATTTTGGATATATGAGGTCAAATAAAATATATTATTAAAATTAATTTCACCTGTTTCTTTGTATTTTTTTTTAAGGTGGCTACTGGACATATTTAAATTACATATGTGGCTTACATTATGTTTTTACACATACAT